GGTCTTCCAGGTAATACCTTCATCAGTGGTTCTGTAATCCCTTTTGCCTTGTCTCTGACTCTTGGAAACTTATCTCCTCTCTTTCATGAGTCCTTTGAAGTGTGTTGCTTCAGCTTACTAACTTCCTGAGTAAGAAAGGTAAACTTGTAGCCTAAATATGTTGGTGGCAGTGACTGTAACTCTTCCACGACTTGTTCGAGTTAACCAAACTGCTTCCATTTTCTATTTTCCACCAACACAAATGAACCAGTTCCATCACAGCATGTTGTCTCCAAATGTATTACCTGTAGCTGACATCAAACCATGTCCAGCAGACATCATAGATCACAATGTGCTGCTGAAACTTTCGTTTTGAAAATGGATTGAAAGTTGTGTAAAATTCAACAGTTTTATTATCAACTCAAGTCATAAAAGCTTTTTTAATCTGTTTAGTTCAGTCAACTAAAAAGTCAATAACTGTCTCAGAAGACTTTACCCTTCATCCAAACAGATTACCTTCTTCCTTTTTACCAGAACCAAACAAACCCGTCACCATCAGGAAGACATAATGGACCAGAATTCACCTAGAAAGCAACTTGCACTAAACACACGCAGTCCATACATTTTCAAAAGGCCAACTGGCAAAGACAGCAGCTCCTCTACCATCTTGCTTTACGTTCTGCTAACTTACCTCCAGTAGCTGCGTGAGATCTGACACCTAAACATCAGTATGTAACAACAATCTTTCAAAAAACTCATCGGATCACGTGAATCAGCTTAGTATCTCTCTATTTCCTAAAGGAAAAAAGCAGAAAAAGATCTGTAGATCATGGCACAAAAAGAATGAGTGAAACGACTATTCTAGACAAGCGGACAGCTTGTCTTCAGGCTTGAACTGCTCATCCACTCATTTAGCCATCAACGAATGAAACTGACCACATTAATGTCAGTGAGTGATGATTTGCCAAATTCCCTGCAACATTTTTAAGAACACATTACAACGTACCAGTAGGCTTTAATATTTCCACATTCTGAGTCCTCCTCAGTGACAGTTTAGAGCTTAAGTCTGCCTCAAGTTTGAGAGCTGCTGCAGTGATAAATAGCCGAGCGAGCAGCGTTCATAATTCCCCCATTATAACTGCTGGTGTATTCCTTCGTCTGTTTAACGACTTGCTCTTAAAGGAAGTAGGAGCGGGGAGGTCATGTGGGCAGGGAGAGAAGCGAGGCTCCTCTAAGCACCCCGTGATTCATATCAAGCACACATTAAGTGGTGTGCGGCCAAATTAGTGGCTGCAATCTAGCAGGTATTATAGCTCACGCAGCGATGTGTAACGAGCCGCTGTCTCACTGGGTTGTAATGTGGCCTTGATGTCTTTAGCATGAACCCACCAATAATATTCAGCCCATTTAGCCCTTTAGCTCATATCCACAGCGTCGGCACATCAATGTAACACCCACACGTCTTCTTCCTGTTTTGTAGACATCATTCCCCTGTCCTGAGTCACTGACTCCGCCAAGGTTCATTAGTGAAGATAATTTCATTTTGGACAGGAGCGTCAGCACCAAACCTGTCATGTCGACAGTGAGGCAACAACAGCTAAATAAGTCTGTAAAGACTTTATTAGCATTTTGGGGGCAGGGGGATAGTTGTCGTGTAGCAGAGTTGCAACAGTTGCATGAAAAACGACTTACATCCCTTGAACATTTCCACATTTTAACAATTTAAAATTCACAGTAGAAAAGTCAGTGACATATGTATTTGTGTTATACTTTGCTGTGATACCTCCAAATAATATCCAGAGCAAACAATTGCCTAAATAAGACGTAAAAGTGTTGGTCTGTTTGTGTTTAATTTAGTCTTAGTATAGATACAACTGTTCTGCAAAGACCCCAGACGTTAGTTAATGAGTAGGATCATGAAGATCCAACAAAGAGAAAAGCGAGTGAGGTTAGGAAACAATATCCCAAGCTTTGGACATCTCATAAAGCACTGTTCAGTCTGCCTGCTGAAAATGGAAAAGGTACAACACAAATGGAAATCTAGTGGCAGCTCTATAGACCCGTAAGTCGGACTGCAACTCTGAAGGAGGTGCAGAGATTTACAGCTCAGTTTAGGCTGACAAGAAAACTGTTCATTCTGCACTCCACATATCGGACTTTCACAGAGGAGAAGCACTGAAAGAAGTCACAGGATGTTGAGAAGGGCACTCTGATCAGATGAGGCAAATATGTATTTTTTCCAATTGCAAATTGCTGATGGTGTCAGCTCCTGCTAATGGTGTTCACTCCTGCTGATATGGTAAACTGAAGTTTACAATTTGCAATCAACCAATCAATCAGATATGATGCATAGCACACTTCAGCAACACAGAAGTGAAAAGTGCTTTACATCATGAAAACATTATCAACACATTTTATTGTCAACAGACGTGAAAACCAATAACAGATATTATGTCATTTCTGCATTGACTGTTGTTTTAAGTCAGTGTTACTCATCGTTTAAAAATGACTGTTTGGGCTGAATGCATATCCCATGTAACAAGGACACATTGCACCGTAAGCAACATGGGCAGGTGATATTTTATTTGAATTAAAACAAACTAAACAACCTAACATTGACTGTTATAACTAATCGTGAATCCCTTTCCATGGCAATGCTCAGCAAATGCTTGTCACAGTTAAATGTTGTTTGGACAAACTAGGTGTTGATACAAACAATTATGCAAAGTAGCCTAACTTGGATTTTACAAGCCAAACTTAAGATTATAACTTTTCTCAAAGTTGATGAACAAAATGAAATGTAAGACTAGAGTTAATGTAATGAACTCCAGTCTTACAGACCGTTCGTTTTTTAGGGGTGGCCTAAAAAATTGATTTTTAGGCCATCCCTAAGAATCCATTTCATTTTGTAAGCTCTGAATGAACGGTCTTATTGTAAATCACAGCTTTGGCATCGAGAATTACCAAAAGTATAGAAGAACACATTAAACCTGAAAAAGAATGGATCAAAAGCTCCACGCCTTGGCGTCATTGGACACCTGATTTTGCCACTTCTAAATTTAGGCTCATTTAGTATGCAAATCATTTTTGGTTATCAATATCGCCAATAAATATTAACCACACTTTTGATCCAAAAATAGATGAACAAGTCATCCCCTAAAATGACACATGAGATTGGTGTTGTGTCCCAGTGTCGACACAGTCACTGTGGTGCGTCTGGAGTCCCACCGCTGGCTGCCAGGCTAAGAGGGTGAGGCTCGGCTGGCTTGGGACTCGGTCTGTCTCTAGCATCCCATTCAGACGTCAGCAGAGACCGGCTTCACCACTTCTCCTTTACAGTCTGCTTTCATGTGTCCTTTAATGAGGAAACCGCCGGCTCAGCAGCTTGCTATAAAACACAGGCAAATTAAAAGACCCAAATATGAATCAACTACACAACCTAATTCAGCAGGCCCAGCCAGAGGCGTAACTCCACTTTAGAAAAACCAAAGTCTATTGTTTGTAAAGGCCAAAAAGGCAAAAAAATGCCTGAAAAGTGACATCAGGTAAAAGCGATCAGACAGGAAGACCAAGTCTACATGAGTTTACATGAGTAATTCCCCTTCATTAGAGACAGCAAAACCATAATTTTCAAAGAACACAGCTGAGGCAAGTGCATAACTTCCCAAAGAACAATAACAGAGTGAGTCATGAGCCCACAACACGACTCCTGCCACCAACGGCTCGCCACAGTCTGCTAACGCTGCGACTGCCACTTTAGACAACAGCAGCGCCATAAAATGTCGAAGACGCACTCGGCATCAGAAAAAAGTGTGTAAAATAAAGCAAAACCACATTTGTTTTTTCCCCTCTCGTTTCATTGTAATGATGGAAATAAGGGCATCATTCTGAGATTAGTGCTGCCATTTCTCCTTGGCTGACATTAAGCTTTATGTGCATGCCTGCTGAAGAGATTTGGAGTAAAAATGAATAACAGAAACCCACGGAGGAGACAGATATCAGTGCCATCAGCTGCAAATTTAAGATGTGTGATGCTGGGGTAAAATACATACACCGATATACATTCATCAGTAATGCAAAACATTATGACCAAATAAGTTGTTGGTCCTCGTTATCCAGACAAAGCAGCCCTGATCTGCCAGGTTCTGGACTCTACAAGGCCCCAGAAGGTGTGGTGCTGCATGTGGCATGAATATGTTAGCTGTAAGTTTTGGAAATCTGACAGTGTACAAGATATGGCCTCCATGGATCAGACTTTTTTTTTTTTTTTGGCCAGAACGGCCTGCAGATGATTGGGTCTCAGATCTGGGCAGTTTGGGAGTCAAATCAAAACCAGAAAGTCAATGTTGTGCTTCTCACACTATTCTTGAGCCATGTTTGTTTTGTTCCAAGGTGCATTGCTAAAAGTAGCACTAGAAGTTGGTTTTCTGTTGGAATGGACCACATGAGCCAGCCTCTGTGAACCATGAGCACTTGTCAAGCCATTGCAATGCGGCCCTCATCACATTCACTCAAATCCTAATGCCAGCACTTTTTTCTTTTTTTGTTTTGCTGTTTCTAACTCATCTACTTCGGGAACACTATGCTTGAATCTCGCCAAACAGTCACAGTCAACAATTTAGAATACATGCTCTGACGAGATTTGTTTGTTGGGTACTTTAAAAGGCTCAGATTTGAGAATGAAAACTCTTTCATTTTGTTTAGCTTTAGGAATGTAGAAAATAAACACTTCAAATTAGTGAAGTGTTTAGTTGTGATTTGAACTGTTTGGGCCAAAGTTGATAGGCCCAAACAGTTAGGCAGGGTGATAGGCATCACTTTGTTGTTCTCCTTTTCATATTTATTAAAATTGTTCAAAAGTAAAATATTTGATTATCATTCATTTCCAGAAGACAATATTTTTTAAGTCAAAGTGTGACAATTTCTAACCTTCAAAGTAAGTCTTATGATAACGATATGCGATATGTTTATTCGAGGTCACAAAACTACTTTAAATACACAAAAAACATGCTACAATAAAATCAAATACACAAAATATCTTTATTTTTCCACTGCATATGACTGAGATTTTGTTTCACAGATTAAAGAAACTGAAGTAGAAGTATTTTTCTAAAAAAAAAAAAAATTAAAAAAAAGTAACAGTCTATACTTTGATCCTGCACAACATTATGAAATATAAATTATGTACAAATTCTCACAGCACAAAGAACCCATTCCTCACGGACAATTTACACAGTTGAATCTGACGAAATGAGATAGGCAGGGTGAAGATACACTGGGCATAAGAAAGTGCTAGGCAGTGAAACAATGTTTAAAATTTTGACATCATTAGTCACAAAATAATACTTTGATGGCTCAATGAGCAGATGTAGACAGCGAAGTAAAGAATTAAGTTCAGAGAAATTCTGTTGCAGTATCAAAAGGGCCCTGAAATGTTGCACTGCAACAAACACAGCACAAACAATATTTCTCACAGCATAGTTGAAAATGAATTAAAACAACTCTAAATGTAGTGTAAGTCAAAACATAAATAAATGTAGGTAGATGTTAAATTAAATTTTATTTTATAATATGAAGAAATGTGATTGAACGTCAGTAAACTTTGGGCCTCAAGTTTGGGCAACTTTGGTATAAAATGGGTAATAGAGTCATAACCTCTGCAGTCGGTTGCAATTTCTTCAACTGCATTTGTTGAAGAAATTATGTTTATTTTTCAACACATGCAGTTTGTTGAAAAATAAACTGCATGGTTTATTTTTTGGGTTATTTTTTTCTTTTTCTGTCCACATTATTACAGGGTCAGGGGGTAAGGTCATACAGGTAACAGACATTTAGCAAGACACTGACAAAAACATGCTTCACCGCTGATTCATTTCCACTCTTTAACCATCCAGGAAATGCTACACGAGTTGCATAGTTGCATGTAAATCTGCAGCTACTGTACACTGCGTTTTAGTAAAGCTCGACCAAGATTTTGTATTTTTTGGACATTTTTAAATAAATCCTAGCATCTCTTCGGATACAGGAGAGAGAGTTGACAACAAGCAGAGAGGTGTCAAGACACAGCATTTTGGCCTCTTTTTAGTCTCTCCTGAGAATACCGGGGTAAGGGACACTCGGGTGTGTGGTTCTGAGGTCTGAGTAACAGTCCATCATAGCTGTGTTGTCAGCTATGCTTCACCTCCATTCACTGTGCTTCCTCCTCACGCAGAAACTGGAAGACGGATGAAAAGTCCTTGTTGGCGTAGCCGCGAGAGCACATGACTCTGTAGATCTGGTGGGCAAGGGAACCCAGAGGGATGGGTGTCCTTGTGTTGGTGGCAGTGTTCTGGGCTAAGCCAAGATCCTTCACGTTTGAAAAGTAAAACACAGAGTCAGAAAGATTACTGATGATGGCTGTAAAGGAGATACAAGATTTACATAATTATAAGAAGTGCCACAATATAATTGGCATTATTTAATTACTAGTCATCCAGAAAGTCACCTCTGACAATTTAGGATGAATAATCACGAGTAAAAGATTTATAAACTATTTGCATCGATCGTACACCAGTTGGGTGGAGTACAATATTAATGTAAGAAATGACCCAAGGGAAGTTTGTCATGTAAATTAAAGTGGCACTAACAGGTATCTTTGAGGAACTCCTAAAACTATCGTTGGCTCCTGAAGAATAAATTTCTTTCATTTCAGCAGAAAAAGGATCTTGGAAATGAATATGAAGTAGACCACTGAAGGAAAACGTAAAATATTAAGGGAGTTTACTATGTAAAAAATAGAAAAGGGGACAAATGTGCAAAAGTGATGTGAACTGGAGACCTATAGTGAGTAAAAGGCCTGATGCCATAACAAGCAGGCTGTGCTCAGCAACACTTTAGTTAAAGCTAAACTCAAGACCCAGTTCAACTAAATTTTCAACTTTTTCAAAGCTGCTCAAACTTTTAATTTTTAGCTTTTTCTTTTCTCAAAACAATAAATCAATTTGTTCTCAAAGTCTCAAAAAAGTCCAAAAAGACAGATGATACAGATCTAGAAATAATAATTTGATGCAAATGTAACAAAGAATTGGGAAACAAAATCTCTCATATAAAGACAGAAAATACCTTGGCCATCAGAGTAGTCCCAAAACCACCTTGGTAGTTGTTGGCTGAGGGGACACCCTCCATTACTCCAGGGACAGGGTTGTATGTGTCACTGGACCAGCAGCGACCCGATGACATGTTAAGGATCTTTGCAAGCAGCTTGGGGTCCAAACCCAATCTAAAATAAGATGGACCAAACAGCAATCATTATCCTCTTCAGAGTTTAAATTCCTTGACTCATAAATTCATGTAAAAAGGAATAGTTTAGAAAGATAATACATTTTTCATAACATATAGTATCACATAGTTCTTTTAACTTTTTACCAATTTCGCAGAAGTTGAAATAGAAAAGCTAATACAGAAAATTGGAGTAGCGATTATTTAGAGAAGACGAGCTTGAGCCAAAGGGGTCATTTTCAAAGCTGTGAAAGGAAACCGAGTAAAAATATGTCTTCTGGTGATTCCAGTGACCTCAGTTGAACCTTAATCCCGGCACTGACCATTCCTCAGTGTTAATAGCTAGAGCCTTTGTAATGCTGGCTAATGCAGTATTGATGTCCACCAATGGAACTATCCTTCATCAACACTTTTTTTCCCAAGAAAGAGGAGGAGAAGTGTTAAAGCAGCACAGGGGAGTTGTAAACCTTGCCGTCATATCTCAAGGCAAACCGTTAGCTCTGCTGTCCAAAATGCTGCAATAGACTTCTTGGATGCATGAGGGCAAATCTCCGGGCTATGATAATGAGCAGCAAAAAGCTACCAAGAAAAAGAAAAGAGACCAAACCTAGGAAAAGAAAGCACAGAAAAATTAAGTGCCAACCATTACAGCAGCAAGGGTGTAACCGTAGCGCCCGTTTCGGGCATTCAGTGTGCCAGTGGAGTGCTGCTTTTGCAAATTACTGATTTAAAGGCCACTGTAAAGTTGGCCACATCAAGTCCTAGCTGTTTTAGTTTATTGTTACTTACAGGCCTGTAACTCCATTCTGCTCTCAATATGACGATTAAACCATCATAGGTCCTTAAAGCCAGCAGCCCTCCCTCCCTTTTTCCACCTGGCTTTCATTCTGCCATTACAACCACAGTTTTATTATCTGTCTAGTAACTAATTAAGAAAAGGGATTGGAGTTAGTCTCTCTGTCTCTCTATTCCCCCGTCATTGCTTATGTTTTCTCCCAGACGCTCTAATTTTTATTTTTATTAACCACTACTTTTGGAAATGCGGCATCAGTGACTGTGATGTAAAAAGCAATCTCACTCAGCCTTTTTACTACACGCCTTAACGGATGCCTCGCCGTTTCTGCTTCTCCTCTGCCCTTCCTTCCCCCCTCCATCCCAGTTGACACCTTCCCGTCTATGGACTCTTGGGGACATATGTTTGACATCCAAGTCTCCCCCCTCTGCTCAGCTTTCCACTTATACACTCACACACACACGCACGCACACAAGCAAACAGGCAGCCCCTCCCTGCGTTCTGGGTCAGCAGCTGAAAAGGTTACTGGCTGAGCTACAATAAAGCGGGTCCGAGCGCACGGATCGTTTGTTATGGCGACCAGAGAAGCTGACGGGGAGCTGTTGTCCTCTGTTAACGATAAATCAATGATGTTCCCCTCTTGTTCCCTTCACACACATACACACACGCACTCAGCTGTGCTTATTAGCTGACACTGTGGTGTTGCTCTTCGCCTGTGGTAATTTGCGTGGAGAAGAGGACATGTCACGCTTTAACAAGATCGACATGGATAAACAGACGCGAATGTGTTGCCTTGTAATGTTGCTGCAGATTAAAAAAAGGAGATGGAGCTACAGATGGAAATAAGAGGGGAGGGTGTTTATGGGTTTCTGAGCTGGGAGCGCTGGCAGGTGGAGTTCATTTGCAGCAGTGATATTAAGTGTCTGTTCCATCATGATTAGCTCCTCGTCCTTGTTCGGTGCCACACGAGAGGAAGCCCGGCCCGTTCCCCATTTATTATTTCATTAAAGAGCTAACGAGCACCAACACACAGACAAACGTTTACTATCCCACTTAGAGACAATAAGCGTGTTTATTGCTGATGTTTAATCTTTATCGCAACATATGCTCACCATCTCTCAGTAGCTCATTGGAGAAGAGATGTGAGATGTATTTGTACTTGTGTTCTCTCAAATAGTGATGTTTATGAGCTTTGGTTTCTTTTAGATACAAATGAGGCTTTTGCCTCAAACACTTTGTGGATGTATGTCTCTATTCTAAAATGACACTGTCGCTCAATTAGATTAACATTTGTAGCTTCTTAAAGTATCGTGAAAAAGTATTCATGTCGTGTCAAGATCAAACTGTGCAGGATGCATTGTTTGTTTTAATGATATTTTATAAGATAAACCATCACGATGTAGGTAAAAATTGCAGTCTGGTAGGAAAATGAAACAAAATTAAAAACGTGTTTTTGCTTTATCAGTAAGTAAAATCAAATATGAATGAGTGATATGCCAGATGTGATAAAAATAAGAATAAAAGAAGTAACGAATGCAAAACAACATGGTTGCCATGTTGTTTTGGGAATGTGTGTGTTCATAATTGTCATGCGCTGCCACTCCTTGGACTGTGTGCACATTATGCTCTCAGAGCTTCCAATTGAGTTTAACAAATTAACTCTATGAAAAGAACTGTGTGTGAGTGTGTTTCATGTGCATTTTTTAGCATGAGTAAGTAAGAAGAGAGACAAATGCCTATTAGAAAATGGCTGCTCTATCAGGCCCGAGTTCAGCATGATAAAATGTTATTCCCATTATCCTGTAAATTAGCTGTGAGCGCTCTTTCTGCCTCATGTTGGACTGAATCTGTTGTGTGCCTGAACACACATGCGCCTCCGAGAGCCTCTTGACTGCATAAGTGGCAGGGCTGCAATGCAGCTTGGGAGATTTACAGAGTGAGTTCTCTCTAAATGATGACAGACTTTGTCAAGCCCTCTAATAAAAGCCCCGGAGAAGGTGGCATAAGAAGAGCAAGAAACAGAGGAATAGACGGCCACAGAATGGTTGTATGCTTAAACTATCAAGACCACATATGAGTCACTCTTTCATAGAAATTAAGATAATTTATTTTGTGATGGAATAGATCAGAAAGAAATCCTTTTTTATTTACAGTAACACTAATGACATACACTGAGAGAACTTGTACTACTAAAAAATGTGTTTTGGATATAAATCAGAATCTGTGTGAGAGTGCATGTTTCCAAGACAGTGAGGCAATGTGTAAATCTGTGTTGTTCGCTTAACGCCTCCATATTTCAGAAGCCTCGAGAAGGGATTTATGTGAGGCTGCTCATGCCAATTTTCTTCCTCTGTCTCAGCGCAGATAAATCAGGCGCACTAACACAGCTGCACTGTGCAAAGAGCAATTCATTTACACCCTCACGTGCAAAACTGGATGCACACATGCACATACACACATTTTTATAATTATAAACAAACACATAAACAGGCAATAGCAAGAGGCTATATACATATATATATAGGTGATATGGACTTAAATTTTTATCACATTATTTCATGGTACTGCTATTTTAATAATAAAAATGATAATTAAAGATTATTTATTTCTTCTTTTTTTAAGTTAACTGTATGGGCATGAATGCATAGCACAACATTTGTCGTGCCACAAGCACAAATGCTGCTCTTGAAAATCATTCTCATTTGAAATAAGTATCTTCAAGATGCCAAATGTGTTGATTTAAATCAGTAGGTTGCACACTAATTGCACTTAACCATATTTTCGAACTTGCGGATATTCATTGAAGCCCTCGTGAAACAGTGGAGAAAATTGTAAAATTAAAAATTCCAGTATCACTGTCCGTTTGCAGTTTGGCGTTTCTTGAACATCGTTAATTGGGAGTTTATCGAGATGATGAATCGAAATTCTTATTGTGATAAGAAATGTTTCAAAATAAATGATTTGAGATCGATCTATCTATCTATCCATCCATCCTCAGAGTCAAGTGGAAAAAAGGCTTTTATTTTGAAGACTTCATATCCCATCATCCTTCAGCACCTGGTCTAGGAGACACCATCAAGATGAGGCATGAGTACTAATGGGACTTCTAGGTGCTGCTCAGTGGCGGGGGTGTTGCAGGATTCGAGCAAACGCTCCATCAGCAGATGTAAATCAGACTGCGGCTCCACCCCCTCATCCGTCTTGCTCTAACAGAGGCGGGCTGCTTGGACGTGGGGAGTGGTTGACCCCTTTGCACTTCCATAAACTACACTAACACACAGACACATTTCCAAACCTGTATCGAAATAAACTGTATTTACACTAAATGTACATGAAATGTTTATTAGGGCAATTATTTTTGATTATTTGCTCATAATCCAGGATTTAGCTGAGGAAGGCCATCTGCATCTACCAACTGATTTTTCTACGTACCTACTAGGCATGTTAACACCATGATCCAAGCTGTGGTATTTTTACTACAGGTTATTATATTGCGAAACACTCATAACGACCAAAGCCAAGTCCTCACAAATGTGCCCATCTGCTTTCATCTGCACAAGCCTTTCTCTGTAAAGTGAAAGTCAGGTAACACTGAATGTAGCAGGTCAGCATTTGCTTCAAGTACCTGATGCCTAGGTTCATGGTCTCTGCAGTCCCAATCATCCCGATGGATAGTAGCATATTGTTGCAGAGCTTTGCTGCCTGCATGGTTGAGAAAGACAAAGAACTCCTGATGCATGCATAAACTTAAAACACTGAAACCCTGTTTATTGAGAACATAATGAGAAATGTGAGAATATGTTAAATTGTACATACAGACTAACAGTTTAGTCGGCAGGAAGCTATTTTTAAGCTCAGACACATTCACATGTGGATAATGAACAACTCCTCTATCCACAAATACCCACATTGTCAACTACCAATACAAGTCGTGTCTTCAACTCATTTTATGAGCGGTTGTCTTTACCTGTCCTGAGCCAACTTGTCCACAGTAGATGACATTAGCGCCCATGCAGGTGAATAATTCCTCTGCAGCCTTGAATTCTTCCTCCAGTCCACCAACCATGAAGGTCAGTTTAGCCATGCTGGCAGCCCCAACACCTAATCAAAGACACCACACACTTAGTTCGGTGGAGTTAAACAATTTCAAAATGATGCAAACAGTGGGCATGATGATTCAAGACAATCAAGCCCAACACAAATCATGTAGATTATTTCACACAGAGTTTGTACACCAATCTAAATTCTTTACTTCAACTGGTACTGGGTTAAATGGATATATTATGGATCAAGTGAAAAATGTTACATTTCTGAAAATTGTTTTTCATTTTAATTTTTCCAATTCTAAGTTAGTTTTCAGAACATTAGCAGAGGTGTTACAACCTTAAAAACAATGCTTATTTTTGGTTCACTTTTTTTATTTATTGTGAGACAAAAACAGCAGTGAACCTAAACCTTATCAGCTCAAGCACAGCAGCTAGGTACGTTTAAAATAAAAACAATTAACTTTCTGATGGAAGACCTAAATTAACCAGATAACATATTTTACATACTAACATTTTGCATGAAAATTGATTAATTTATGTAGAATCAAATACAATAATATTTTTACAATATCACTGAGAACAGAAAATACTTATGTCTAAATTCACACTTTCACGCCACATAGAAACTTGGCTCAAAAAACTCAATATGACCTTTTGATTTTTGTGAATTAAGATCTGGGCAAGAAGCAAATTTGAATCCTCAAACAAGAAAATGAAATGGTAATGCTTTATTTAATGCCACTTTTGTATTTTTTTGGATGCGCATGTGACACTAACGATGAGACAGACGTGTTAAGTATCGGCGCACCAGAGGGACTGAGCTATCTTTTAAAGGCGACTGTTGCCATCATCCTTTGCACAGCCCTCGTGGGAACCCTCACCTTTTGTCTCGTCACTCCTCCTCTCTCACATTCACACACATTATTCACGGCACATACACACAAACAGCTGGGCCTGAGGGCACCCCTCGTTCCTGGGTGTATCAGTGACAGGCGTGAGGGGTAATTAACTTTACACTTTATCATGTTCAATTAGGCGTCCCTCCCCATGCCTGATGGCTTAAGGAGCATGCCGGGCTGCATGAGGCAATCCTACCCCACCTCCACCCCCCACTTCCCTGAATGGGGTCCTTAATAAGGGAGAAAAGAAAAACAAAAACATTTTCACAGGTTTACTGTTGAAACTGTAAACTATAAGAAACAGTTTAAACAGATGCAAACAGAAACTATACTGAAGCCTTGAGTGGAAAAAAACTAATCAAGGTTCCATTGGGCTATTAATATTGCTATTGGGCAATTAATATGGAGAAATATTATGCAAATAAATGAAGAATATAGAGTTTTCATCTGTTCATTTGAGAATTATTAACAACTCAAAACATCCCCCCAAAAAAACATCCTTCCATCCCTCTTATCCCAAAAGGGATTGTGAGGGGTGTTGGTGCCCATCTCCAGCTGTCCCCACCCCGCCAAAAAAGATAAGAGTACTAGGATGCATGTGATGGACCATTGCCCTGCATAAAAATCATAAATGTTTAAAAGATCTTGACTTCTTACTGAAGAAAGTGGCTAAAAACCAAAATAAGGTTTGAGAGTTGATTTTCAGCTCATCTCCAGTCTAAAAAGGTCCAGCCAGCTTGTCTTTAATACTACCAGCCCATATCAGAACTTCACCTCCACCTTCCTGGTGTCTGACTCGGAGGTCATACCCTCCCTCCTCACAAAAATATGCATCACCTGTTGTACTTAGAACAATTAAGCATTTAAGTTTTTACAGCTCCAAAATATGCCTAAAAGTGATAATATGATAAAAATGATCACTTGGAACATTTTTGATGACAGATTGCATAGAAAGGAACTACAGCATGTCTTCAAATTAGTATTTGAAGGAGGATCTTAAAAGAACAGCCCATTTGACTAGCAGAATACAGCAACAGGTGGGGAGAGGGCAGTGGTCAACTACTCGGTGCTTTCTGTCATTTTTTCTGACATCTCATTAAACTTCAAAACACAAAGAAAACATATAATGGAATCCAACAAAGTTTCCATTTTGAAACTTTGCTAAAACATTGGCATACCTTGATATTGTTATCCTGTCTATTCCTATCCACGGCCATGACCAATTTACATTTTATTTCTTTGACTGACGTTTTCTAAAATCTGTTTAGTTTGTTTCACACAGAGCAGAAATGAAGCGGAGAGAAGATTGAGTCCAAATTTCTCTTCAGGGTCTCATGAAGTTCTAATGAAAGCCCTCCAAGTACTGAAAACCTAATAATGTGAGTGTTAATAATTAAAAAGGAATTACTCGAACAAAACGATGGACTTTAGTGCTGAGGAAACAAAGGAGGGGATTTATTACACATATTTTGACTGCCATCAACAAAAAACATACACCCTTCCCCCAAGCCACCTCTTTAATTAGTTGTGCTGTTGTCAAGTGTATGACGATGCCACTGTTAGTATCTGCATATTTGTCAGTGACAAGCCGTCAGCAGATCATTAGGCCCATATAATGAAACCCAAAGCCCATGATGCAGCAACTGCCTATAGGCCAAAGCTAACATGTGCTTAGCATAAGGTCATCACAGAAGTCAATAATACAAACATACGGCCTTCACAGATAATAGATTTCCCCCCCATCCTTTACTGTTGTATGATAATGTGTATTACATTTGTAACCAGTCTACAAAGTCCAGTTGAATTTCATACTTGCCCTTTAAGCTAATTTAATTGGTTTCATGAGACCAAGTTTGTGGTCTGATGAAACCACTAAATTGTATCTTTATGCAATTAATTGGCCTGCATTTAGATCAATTCACTGTGATCAGCTTCCCTGTTGCTGCTGAAGTATAGCTTTTACCACACCATGATGCAGTCACCCCCATGGCTGCGTCATAGCTTCACAGTGGGGATGGTATGTGCTGGGTGATTTGTTCCCCAAGTGTCAGTTTTCTGCCACACGTTGTGGTTTGCCTGGAGCCAAAAATAGGTAAATTCAGGTCTTCCCAAACCAGATGGCTTTCTGTCACATGCTTCCTATGTCCCTAGCAAACTTCAAAAGCAAATGTGCTGCCACTTTTTTTTATAAACGCTGCATCTTTGGAGTGCAGAACACTTTTTGAGAATTTTACTTCTACCTATGTTATAAACCTTTCATCAATTTCTATACATTTTACAATTGCACACTCCTGCCATATACTATCCCAACAAAATACATTGATGTTTGCGATAGGAACGGGTTGAAATGAGTTGGAGTACTTTTCCAAGGCACTGCATTTCTATTCTGTTTCCGAGTCATTATTCTGCGGGGTGAGCCTCACAAATGCTAATACATATATAAAAAACACACACCCACACAGAGCTGTGTGACAACTGTGCAGGTTCATTAGTGGAGATCACTGTTTGCAGATGACTAAAGAGGAGATTATTGATAACACAGTCAGCTCGCTGATCAATATATCTCACTAAGGAGAGTAAAGCAGAGAGTAAGAGGGTAGAGAAGGAGAATGATCATTCTCTTTCTACCTCCCAGCATCCCTCCCTCAAATTAACTAATCACCCATAATAAGCTCTTATGATCTGTAGTGGATTTCTATAAGAAGTGACACTAGGATGATGGAAGATCCTTGTAGGTGGAAGAATAAGACATCATTAGCATAGCAGTATGTGTGTGTATGTGTGTGCCGGCATTTTTAAGCGTATGAGAGCTTGCTCATTGTGCACGGACTCAAACGCATTAGAGACGTGAGATGTTCAGGTACTGTCTATGTGCTGTGTGTGCTTCCACTGTACATTCATGAGGGGGCTTCCCGTTCTCGGGCCCGTCCTGTCAGAGACGGATTAAAGAGGAATCCTAATGAGGCTTCCTGAGTGCCGGGTCTGCTGGCTCATCCATCCCAGCAGGAGTGACAGTCCTGGATCGTTAGCACTGCACAATTGCACAACGCCCCCTAGGGGGAGGAGATGAGGACTGGTGGTGTGTGCGCGTGTGTGTGCGTGTGTGTGTGTGTGTATATATAAGACAGAGAGTGTTTGAGTAGAGATGTGAAAAAACTGGAGAGAAGAATAAAATACTAAGAAATAGTAAGAAAGTTAGTTGTGTGCATAATAATAACTGAAAGACATTTACAAATGGTATATAAAAATGACTTTTTCCCCAAATTTAACTCGACATGAAATCAAATTATTTTAGATCAATTAGGAATAACACAATCACTTGATGCCGGAATAAAATATAAGAGGATCTTTAAAAAAAAAAAAACTTTTTTATATGATATCCATACATACGTACATTTGTACAAGTATTTTAGGCAACAGATTAAACACACTTCTCCTTTGTGTGCTACTATGGAAATTAACTAAAATAAATTAGATAAATAAAAAAATTGCCAAGGATATCAGGAAGAGAACTAAATGATGATTTGTTTGGCCATAATGATCAACTTTTTATTTGGAGAATAAAGAAGGATGACTCTGCCAACTATGAAGTATGGAGGTTGCAGCATCATGTTGTGTGGGTGTTTTGCTGTAGCAGGAGTTGTGCATTTCAAATTAACATTATGCTGAAATGATTAAGCAACATATCGAAAATGAAAATCTCAGACACAAATGGGTCTTTAAAATGGCTAATGACTTGAAGCATACCAACAAATTAGTTACAAGTGGCTTAATGACAAAACAGTACACATTTTCAAACAAACATCAGAGTCCAGATCTGAGTCGCATAGAAAACTAGTGGCAAGAGTTAAGAAGAGGCGTGGCTTGAAAATCTGACTCGGTTACACAGGTCCTGTCTGGAGGACTGGGCCAAAATTTCCACAAATTATTATTGGAAGCTTGCAGAATGATTACAAAGTATTCCTCAAATAATTCAGTACAAAAGGAAATGCTGCAAAATGCAAATCTCTGATTTAAAAAAATTATTTGTTAAATAAATCTCTTATCAAGAAATTTTGAATTTTTTTTTACAGTATTCCCAAGTGACCTAAAACAGAAAAGGTTTAGTATAATTCATACAATACATGTAAACATTTGGCTAACAAAATATAATTAT